GAGGTCAATTGTCTTCCAACGTCTGTCCACCAAAGTCGTCTTCCAGGATTTATACCGTAACCAAGACTCCAGGATTAATTCCGTTCTTTAAGGATATCATCCTAACTTCCTTGCCTTCACACCTTCGGGCTCCTGTTAACGGACAAGATTCAGAATCATTCTACCGAACATTCCATCTGCGTCAACAGTGTCATTTGACCACAGATCTTCGACCCAAAAGAAAGGTATTTATCAACCCGCGATTCGTTTGTAAACTCTCTTTCGTTTACAAACGGCCTAGTATAATTAGGGGCTATGCTAGAAATCAAATATAGCTGTATTTTCTTTTGTTATAATTAAAATTTTTATTTATTTGTTACTATGGAGTCCGAGTGAGTCACTTCCTCGTCTCTTTCCTCACCACTACTTTGAATCCAACTGCTCACCCGCGACCGCTCGCGTGACGTAAAGTCGCGATTTCCGAGTCCTGCGAGATTCGATGGTGTCACATTCTGACATGGTGTGAAAGAGACACCAACCCTACAGCTCTCGTTAACAGACACAAATTATGCTAATCAATAATCTCCAGTGATTTCTCTGAAGTACCCTAATCTGTAGCTCTTCATTTCTCACCACTGTGCCTCTTTGTTTACGGGCCGGTAAGTAATTACGAGGGCTCGAGGGGAAAAAAACAAAATTATTTNAGACTGTACAGCAGAAGGTGCAATTTTCAAGTTGTGTCATCGTTTTATTTTTTAAAATTCGATTTGTATTATTACTTTATATTAAATTTCTATACAAATTATACATAATCTATACTGTATCGGACTTTATCACAATACAATTTAATTTGCATCATTACTTTATATTAAATTTATATACTAATTAATTTTGTATTTCACAGTGTATCATTCGTATACTACTAATGGCTCTGTCGTAGTACATTTTGTGCGTGTTGTTTTCCAATACAGTTTGTGGAATATACTTGTAGCACGGTTCGTGGATGTCTACCAATTTGTGTTTCTTTGCAAGCTCTTACTGTATTATATTTGCTACTTGATTGTGTCTATGTAAGCAATCTGTCTGTGCCAAGAGCTCGCACCCAGATGTAATGTGTTGTATAGTTTCTGGCATAATGTGAAATTTTCTGCATGTGTCATTTGTGAGTGTTGTATCTTTGAAAATGTGTTTTTATGTCCTTCGTGTATGAATGTGAGATTTGTAGGAGCTGCTAAAATTGTTTCTGTGTGGATACATAATGTTTTATGTCGTTCATGTACATGAGATGTGACATCGTAAACTCTGTTGTTTTTCATGTCTAATATTGTAGCCATATTGAGTGGACAATGGGTTAAGGGCTAGGAAGTACCAGAGAGAACTCAAGTAATCTCCTTGAAAACTGTCTTGCCTAATGAATATTTCGTTTGTTTGTATGGAAGTGTTACTAACGCTGAGATGTAGTGTTGTTCTCCAGTGCTGCATAGTGTTTTGGAAGAATCTAATGCGTGATGGATGTATTTTGTACATGTGTAGAATATGTAGCAGCAAACTGCGTGGAACACTGTCGAATGTATTTCTGTAGTATATATGCCATGTGTATGTTTCTGTGTTTTTTTGTGTGCTTGCCGTAGAATGACTAAATCTATGAGTATTATTATTATTATTATTATGTGGGACTCAACCTTGTTTACTTACTTTACTACGGCCTGACCTAAATCTTTAACGATATCATTTTATTTTGTCTGTAAAAGTTCGTCGGATAGAAAATTATTTCTAATAAAATAAAGTTGAAGACAAAACTGTCCAAAAAAAATCACCATTATTACTTGTGTTCCAAGACTAGCACATTTTCGGCGACTAGCCTTTCTTTTTAGGCTACTTGTCGCCGGAAAGGTTACAAAAAGTCCTTTTAAAAAACACAAACCACATCCAATTACATTTTTTTACAAGTAGCGTAAAAAGAAAGGTCTGTCGCCGAAAATGTGTTAGTCTTGGAACACAAGTAATAATGGTGATCCTTTTTGGACAGTTTTGTCTTCAACTTTATTTTATAAAATATCATTTTATTGTTTAAATACATTTAGGAAATAATCAATCTGCAATTTCTCAGTCATTAAGGGATGCTTTCTCATAACCTTTTCGACCTATTGTTGCAAGTTTGTCAAGTGAATATAGCAACAGACTGATTTTCGATCAGTCGTCATGCATCCTGCCAACCGTGCAGTTGCCAGTTCTTTGAAAGCTTGGTCGTCAACCGATGGGAATATTTCGTACTTCTTGCCTTCTGCCCATTCACCTACTTGTTCGCATATGAGATTTGCCTAATTACCCACTTTTATGGTAAGGATTGCCCAGCTTAAATTACCTAAACAGAACATGGATGAAATAACAGAACTGAACGTAACTAAACAGAATGCGGATTAAACTAACAGAACATGGAATCGACGTTACCCTCCACCCGGTCTTTTTTCCCTCTCACAACCAAGTACCCATTCCGAAAATTAAGGTTGCTCTAGCCAAAGAAAACGACCGATACGTCAGGTATCTATCATCACGCGTTTTTTTTTTTTTTTTGTAAACTCTCTCTCTTAGGGCAAAAGAAATTTCTCCCTCTTTAACGAGGAACGTATTTCCTGTAGTTTAACGTTTTACTTTAAAATTAAATGTCGTTTTATTAGCCTAATCTTTGTGTAATCACTTCCGGCGCGCTATCTCTCACTCCATTCGGAATCAGATCGCTCAGTAACACGACATCTCGCGTGACCTATTTCCAAATCGCCGGGGCTTCCGTGTCTCCCCCAGACACGGTGATATCTATCGTGACGAGGCATCGAAGCTGTGCTGACCCTCCGGTCACAATTATTATTATTATTATCAAGTAATCTCCTATTGTATTATAAGATACGAAATTCACTTGTTTACTTATAACAAATTAATATGAAATTTGTTGCTGCTTGTTTGAAATAAGTTCATGGATTATTTGCTCTTTTCCACGAAAGATGACAATCGAACTCACAACATTATCTATTAACTTTTTGACATTATTATTTATTGACAATAGTCATTCCTTTCGTAATACTTCGCGTAACCTTAAGTTGAGCAATGTCCAAATTTCTTCACGGACCACGAAAATTTCCCTGTGGACTATCGGTGGTGCACGTAACTTTTGAGGGAAGATATACTCGTACGTTTTACAAAAGAATAGTAAATTATAATAATGAGTAAACTCTTTATTAAGTCCTACCCCTCTCGAGATGCATGATCCCTTTCGACCTTTATCCACTAAAATTTAAGAGCATCAATGCTCTTAAATTTTAGTGGATAATAAAATTATCCACTAAAACGACTGGTGGCTGGTATATGAAGAGCATCAATGCTCTTCATATACCAGCCACCAGTCGAAATTTCGTTACTTAAAATTTACCCTATCCTGAGACATTAAGCGAAATACAATCTAACACACACTACCATATATATATAGTTAAAACTACGGCATTTTTTTGAATTTCTCGACATTTGAAGTTAATGCAGATGCGAAAAATATAAAATTGTTCGGCTAAACTCTATTATATATAGTGAGGAACGTTAAAATAGCTGTTTATAGCGAACAAGGTTAGATGAAGACGATTGATAATGCACTGATTTATGAGGAATAAACAACTGATCAATCCGTGATTTAAAGTCGAAAAGTCATTATAAGTTATTAAATTTATATACTGTTTATGATGAAAGTCCGTAATTATAGTTTTCACTTAGTTTATATAAATCGAATGTTGAAATTAGATCAAAGTCTTTACATTACGTGATTAGAAGTATACAAAACTAAAAAATATTCACAAAAATCTATATTATAACTTTATGAATTTAAAATTTAAATGCATCACAAAACCTTAATTTTCTATTCGCAGAATATTAGCATGCCGGATATAATGAAAAAATTCCGGATTATCGGCGATCGATTAAAGAGTGCCGGATTAAGGAACTTCTGTGTTTGAACTCTAAATTTACTTTTCTAAAAATTTTACATATATAACTTTTAGATTCCATAAAGTAAAACACTAAAAGTAATCTAATATTAAATACTTTAATAAATAAATCTATATAACCCAGTTGGATTAATAATGATAATAATAGTAATAAGCGCAACGCTTAAACAGTTAGGAGTTAAAGATTAAAATTTGGTACAAAGTTAGGGTACGTCAGGAGAATGTACGCTTACTTACATACTTACTTATTCTTTATTAGACACCTTGCAGGTGCATTCCCAGTACCGTATTATACATAGCTGAGAAATATATATACAATTTTTTATATGAAAATATAATTTAGAAATGATAAAACCGCTTGGCAAATTGTAGGAAGACAAAGTAAAGAAGTTGAACAATATCAGTATGAATTTTACAAATCGATACCGTGGTAATGAATAGAAAGGTTATGCAGGTGTTGGGTGTACCAATATAGATATAATCTTACAGCTTGTCATGCAGGTTATTAAAAAGAAAGTACATAAGATAAAATAGAACGAAAATTAACTAAAACTAACTTAAAACTAAACTTATGACTATTTTAAAACTAGACTTATGCAATATAACAATAAACTGAGCGTGTTGTATTCTAATCGTAATACAAACAGAGTGTTATGAAATCTTATGAGGCCGAATGTACACCAAAAAGAGATTTTTCGAAGTTTCTCCCGCAAGGAGAGATTGTTAACACTTTCCCATGAAGAAAGTGTTAACAATCTCTCCTTGCCATCCTTAAACTTTCCCACGAGGAAAGTGTTAAGCATGGCAGTGTTAACAATTTAAGTGTTAATTAAAAATAAAAATGTTAACATTGGAAGTGTTAAGTAACAATAAAAAAAGTTAACAATGGAAGTGTTAAGTAACAATAAAAGTGTTAACATTAGAAGTGTTAAGTAACAATAAAAAAGGTTAAAAATGAAAGTGTTATATAACAATAATAAAGGTTAACAATGGAAGTGTTAAGTAACAATAAAAAAGGATAACAATGGAAGTGTTAAGNTGTAGTATTGTCGACAATCAGGTATCTGATGGAGTTGCTTTCACCATTAATCTATTGATTGTATAAGTGAATAATTGGGTCTGCTCTCTTTCATTTTCCTGTAAATAAAATCAAGTCATTGCAACAAACAATATACAAATAAAAGGTATTAAAAATAAAATTCACGAAAACATTCACAAATTTAATTTCATGAAACTTTTAAATACGAAACAGAAAGTATTCTATGAAAGAAAAAAAGGCCTTAATTAAATGTAAGATATTTCACGCAATATATTTACAATAGAAATATTGCCATTGCTTACATCGTCTCCATATTCTTCTAATTTAAACGATCGTATGAGATTTGCCAGTACTAATTTCATTACAGTTTTTGCTAATCTTTGTGCTATACAAATTCTTTGCCCTGCTCCGAATGGTTGGTAAATGATGGAATCAATTTTCTGCTGTTCCTCGGAAGAAAATCTAAAATCACCCAAAATTTTTATAATTGCAATTTCAAAACTTGTTAATAAAGAAGATATCAAAAATAATTCAATTATAATTACTATGTTACCTGTAGGGATTAAACTTATCAGGTTCACTCCAATAAGCTGGATCATGTTTTAAAAGGTGTATTGGAATCGTTATTGTACAACCTTTCGGAATGGTGGTGTCTTTATAACGATAATCTTCTTTACATACTCGATTAACACTTCTACGTATAAAAATATGTACAGATAATATACTNAAATATAATTTAGAAATGATAAAACCGCTTGGCAAATTGTAGGAAGACAAAGTAAAGAAGTTGAACAATATCAGTATGAATTTTACAAATCGATACCGTGGTAATGAATAGAAAGGTTATGCAGGTGTTGGGTGTACCAATATAGATATAATCTTACAGCTTGTCATGCAGGTTATTAAAAAGAAAGTACATAAGATAAAATAGAACGAAAATTAACTAAAACTAACTTAAAACTAAACTTATGACTATTTTAAAACTAGACTTATGCAATATAACAATAAACTGAGCGTGTTGTATTCTAATCGTAATACAAACAGAGTGTTATGAAATCTTATGAGGCCGAATGTACACCAAAAAGAGATTTTTCGAAGTTTCTCCCGCAAGGAGAGATTGTTAACACTTTCCCATGAAGAAAGTGTTAACAATCTCTCCTTGCCATCCTTAAACTTTCCCACGAGGAAAGTGTTAAGCATGGCAGTGTTAACAATTTAAGTGTTAATTAAAAATAAAAATGTTAACATTGGAAGTGTTAAGTAACAATAAAAAAAGTTAACAATGGAAGTGTTAAGTAACAATAAAAGTGTTAACATTAGAAGTGTTAAGTAACAATAAAAAAGGTTAAAAATGAAAGTGTTATATAACAATAATAAAGGTTAACAATGGAAGTGTTAAGTAACAATAAAAAAGGATAACAATGGAAGTGTTAAGTAACAATAAAATAAGTTAACAATGAAAGTGTTAAGTACAAATAAAAGTGTTAACATTGGAAGTGTTAAGAACGAAATTGTCAAGAAAAAGCAACGTGCAATATTTACAGGCGCAGATGCGTTTTAGCGAGAAATCGAACATATTTTTAAATTAATCAAAAAATTTCAAATTAGTCTGGAAACAGGAGGACCTAATTATTGCATTCTGTGAAAACGGGATAAGATTTGCTATAAATGTAATTATCTTAATCTTCGCTATCGTTACTTTTTGCTTGAGCAACGCATGCTTTATCTGCTAGTTCTTTAATAAAATACAATTAATCGCATTAATGGAAGTTTCGTTAATTTCTTCTATTACAGAGTTTAAAAAAATAGCCTATAAGTATACACTTACCACAGTTTCAAGGCGTTTTAATGTGTTCGAAAAGAAAATGAATAGAAAATGAGTTTATGTAAACTATTTTACATTATTAATTAAAACATCTCTTAGAGGAAAGTAAGTTATAAACATACTACTTATCTGGTTTTCTGCTTACTAATACAATTTCGAGTGTTTTTCCTTCCCTTTCGATCGATTAACTAATCAATTTACAGCATTACTTTCGTATGGATTTTGATATATTTTTTGATTTTGTATTTAATTTACAACAAGAAAATAACTGCCGTCAATTAAATATAAACAATTTAAATTTTTACTTATTGTGTAGTACGTAAACGATTTATTTACTACAATTCTGTTTATATATTACTGGTATACATATAATGAAATAATATATAAAAACTATTATATTTTATGTTAGTTACATAAAATGTTAACTATTTTTATGTTTATAATAATATAACTCTTTTTATTTGGTTCACAATCATTTTCTGCAATTCTTGTGTCGAATTGCTGACATATAATTGGCCAGAGGGCATTTCAGGATGTTACATTAACCTGAAAAAAATATCACAACATTCTTTGCTATGCTATTAAATGTACCAGTATGTGTAATAAACATGAGATGATACCAGTTACAGTACCTGTTTCAAAAATATTGAAATTTACTACCAAAACTGGAGATGGCGCTTGTCCACTTACTCTGACAACACCAGTAATAAAAGTCCAAGATAAAAGAAAATTTAAAAAATTAACAGAATAAAAATATAATGTTTATACTTCAATAATATATTATAATAACCTTTAACTACTTTCGTGTGGTGCATACCACTGCTTTAGTTAATGTTACAAGCATTCAAAGCACTTTATAGCGTTAATATGCCTGCTTTCGTAGGTTTATATGTATCTATCATACATTAATTTTAGAGAAATAGTATATATTTTAGACATAAATTTTGGGAAAATGTATTATTACTTTTTAAAAAATTATAAATGTGAAATAAAATTTTATATAAAAATTAAATGTGAATAAAGCTACAAATGAGGAAGGTTTATAGTTGTTTGATAAATCACAGTACATGTGAGAATTCGGGGGTTAGCGAGAGAGTACAAGTCTAAACCCTATTTCGACATCAGGATAATAAGTTACGCTCAATTGTCACTGAATGCCGGTTTTTTCTACTTAAAGATGAAGACGAGAAAATCGTAGAATTTTCCTGACACAAGTTAAGATAAATTTGCGCATCTTAACTCGCAATTATCCTTTTTGTCTACAGATTTACGTTTTAAGATTTAAATGTTTACTACACTGTGAAGTCCGCAAATTGAGGAGGTTAATATTTATAAAATATTAAAAAATATTACATTTAAAAACATAATTATTCACAATAAAATGTAACATTAGTGATTTTGGAAGAAGATATTTCTTCCAAACACTATATTTCTACTACCTCACTCCGTGAGGTAGTACAAATATAGTGTTATTGTAAACTCTCCGCTAAATTCGAGAGATAAGTATAAAATAGACTAAACATAAGAATTTCGATACCTGTTTATATAATTTAGTTTTATCTTTTTTTAAAGTTTTATTAAATTCATTGTTATTGTTTATGATATCCTTATTGACTCAATCCTGGGCCTACATCCACTCCACTTACTCGCGAACCTCCCACTCAATATTCCATCAAAAAGGTTACGAGCGTGTTTAATGCTATATTTAGGCTGGTGTCAGGAAAAACAAACTTTCAGGGGTTTCTCACAAACTTCTGTTTTTTATGTTAAGTCTTAGGAAGCCATTCTTCGACTCTGTGGGGCAGTCTAACCGATTGCGTCGCTGGATAAGTAGCAGAGAGACTTACCCGGACTTTGTACCCACAGCTAGCTCCTCACAAATGGTGTCTAGGAGATGGGGTTTGATTTACTTCAATTTTCTGAAGCCTCACAAAATGGTGTAGCAGGAGTGAAAGTTTAGATTTGTAAAAAGTTCCCCAATTTTTTAGTTGGTGTTTTATTTTGAAGAGGATAAAGGTGGATTTGAGTCACAGAAATTGTAATTCGAATTGTATAGAAATCTGTTTTTCTTTGCAATTCTTGGTTTTGGTATCGATAGAGATTGTTGATTTAGATAGTTATATACTTCAAGGTAAATTTTTATTTTAAGTAAAAATAAGTTAGAGATAAGTTTAATAATAATGACCGAGCGAAATCCACGTGCTGCTTTAAGCAGTGTAGAAAGCCTAGTGCCATTGCTTTCGACGTTTTCAGGCGAGAGATAAAAGTCTTCAGCATTAGAAATTTTTTAAATACTTAGAAGATGTAGGAAGACTAGCAGACTGGACAAAGGTACAACAATAAACGGTAGCTAGATTAAAGCTGACAGGAATCGCCCGGCAATTTGCTAGGAGAAATACAAGAATTAAAGATGTCGACAGTTACAAAAATTTAAGAAACATTTAATAGAAAGATTTGAGAGAGTCCCCTTGTTAATTAAATTATTGATACACAAATTTTATGCCTGTGTACAAGCCCGAGACAAAGATGGCCAAGCTTATTCGGTTCGATTACATTTTCTTGCAGCTGAGATAGAAATAGAGCATTAAGGGTCCAGTGAAGCAGAAGTAGCTGTTATTCACCGGGTGAAAGCAAAAGAATTAAACGAAAGAGTTAAGATCCAATTCTTGAGCGGTATAGATATTAGGATTAGTCAGATGGTGATGACAAGGGAATCCCTGACGTTTGATTAGGCCTTAGAGACAGCCAAATCCGAAAAAGGTGTTGAAATGCTTGCTACAGGGCGAGGTGGAATAATGAAAGTTGTAGGGGAGAAAAACTAAAACGGACAGAATATAAATATAGATGAATTACATAAGTTACAAAAACAATTAGAGAAATTGGAGGAAAAGCTACAATTTTCAAAAAAAGAGACTATAGAAAATACCAAAAAAGTACAAAATAAAATATATGAAACTTCGCACTTCCGTTATGGGAGAGAGAAGCGAGATCTGTATTGAGATAAACATATCCACTCGCGACGAGACACAAGGAAGTATCAAATCGAAGAAAGTGACTGCTGGAACGGGAAATTGCCGCCGTAAAATCAAGAAAGGATCCATACACATTGATTTATTTGAATAACATCCCTACCAAAGTGAAATTCGACTGGGATGCTTAAACCACAGTTATATCAAAAGCGTTAGCAGAGCGATTGGGGGAGTAGTCACACGTAATATTTGGAGAAAAATCTGAAATAGAGATTTTCCCAGGAAAGGTTTTACAAGCAATAAGTATTTAACCCCGATACTTACGCTACGGGGCACAATTTCACGAATAATTGTCAGATAGTACAACCATAACTAATAGCCTCTTGGATGGGAATAATTGGTCGACATATATTAGAGGGGGAAAACATAGAAATAGAAATTCAAAATAACCGGATAATCTTGAAAAATGGAAAAACGTTCATTGCTGTTCGTATCATATAAAAACACAAGAGAGAAATAGTGAAAATAATGGAGAAAATTGCCGACAGTGTTCAGAAACAAACATTATTAGAAGCGTCCGAGTGTCTCTTCACAGCAGACGCTGTATACAGAATGAACATATAGAAAACTAAAGCGGGGCGTTGTACAAATGAAGGGAAATTAGCTAAGGATATAAAAATAAAGTGCACCATGAAACAAGGAAAAGAGCATGAGAAAAGGAAGCTTTTTGATAAGCTTATGCAAAAGAAGAAAATAAATGATCGAATAGATAATTCTAACTTAAGACATAAAATAGAAAAATAAGGAACTGAGAATGAAAATAATTTAGAAACAAACTGCGATAAGAACATAGTTGATTTTAAAAAGTTTACAAGTTCGATGATGTTTATCCTAACAATTATTTTAAGACAATCTAACAAGGCGGTATATGGAAAAGCCACTCATGAGAAAATAGAGTCAATGTACCGAATTAAAACGAAGTCACATACCTGTGTCTATTGAGGATAGACATGCTAATTATGTGATAATGAACCAGACAAACTTAGAGGATCAGCAAAATGCGCTGTTATAGAGAAGAGGAGAAGTTGATAAAGTAGTAATGGTAAAATGAATTAATTAAGTAAACATGCAAGTATATATTAATTGAAAAAAAAAAAAGCGAAATATAAGAGATAACGCTATATGATAAAATCAAAGACTGCCAGACTGAAAGGAAGTCGTCATAAAAAAAGTTGCTCTGGAGCGAAGTACAACAACCACATATATATTAGATGTAGACAATCATATGTTAAATAGATTGAAGCTACAAACATTCTAAATTTGTAAAATTATATTAAATTCTAATGATAACAGAGTGAAGATACATAGATTAATGAAAGAATAAACCATGACTCTCAATACACGCATTTATCTACGAATTTTATCACTTTTATTTAGAAATTACAAATTACCGATAAGACCAACGTAATTCCAAGGATTGCTTGATTGAACTTATCACCTTGGAAGAAAAATAGGATATTTAGGTTTATATTCGATGTTGTATCGGATTGATCGATTATCGTTGTATAAACACACATGTAAATTTAATTTTAATTAAGGATAATTGAAGTGTATAATTTGCATCTGTATTTTCGTTATTAAGTTGAATTTAAAAGAATAGAATAAGCATAGATCAGTAAAGTTAAACTATTAGGGGAATAAGTCTGATATTAGAAAAACCCATATCTTCACAATTTTATTTGTCATTTATACGTTTTATATATTATTATATAACTAACCTAATATGGTATAAAACTTTAGATAACAAAAATTAGCAATAGGAAATAGCTCATATTATATTGCCATAAATATCTTGAACTACAAGTATTTATTTCCATAAAACTATATTATTGAGAAGTATTATAGATTATTGTAGATTAAATTTAAGAAAGAGAGAAAGTAGTTAAATTCAATTATTATCATCGTACCTTGATGCCAAAGACCTCTTATGAACTTTGATGTGTCAAGAGAAAAAGAAATTTCTAATTTATTTTAAAGAAGTATATATAAACATTGTGATTGATTTAACATATTAATCTTTGAAGTGTTATATAGAAAACAAACATCGATGTGTATTTTAGAACTTTTCGTACAATGTACAAAATTACCATTGAAGAAAAGAGAATTATGTCAACAACCAGAAGACACAAGAAAGTTTATTTCACAGAAGAAAGAAGATAAACAGATTGTAATTTTTATTTGATCTACTAATTGTATAATTTTTTATTAATTGGAATTATGTAACCAAATTTAAATATGGTTTTGTTCATTTTTATTGTGATCTCACTTAGCTGAGAATATATATAATCAATGTGTGGCTTTAGATTATATTTTTGTCGTTGATCTGAAATTTTTAAGAGAGCGAATATAATTCGAATTTGTTAATGATGTAAGGAAAACACAATGTATAACTATCATTTGTTAATTAATTTAATATGTTTAATTATTATGCCTAATTGTAAAGAGAGAGAATTAAATATAGACATATACCCCTTTCCCGTATTACGAGCCGCGTGTCAGACGCCTAGTCGCAGTCTTTTAAGCAGCGTTCAAAAAATTCAAGTTTACTAATTATTTCGAGCTGCAAAAAATGCAATAAATAATGTTTTTCGTGCGCGCGGAGTTTCCTCACAAAAATATGTTGAAAAAGTGTAGGTGTCTCAAACTGCACGAGAGCATTCGGGTAGGAAAAACTCGGCATAAAAAACACTTTCGCAATAATCCCTATCGTCGATCGTGACCATCGCAATCATTTTTTTCGCTATCAATTTTTTTTCCCAATAATTTTTTTTATTATTTCAAGAAAAAGATCAATTTTATCCGACTTTGAAGCGAGATACCGCAATTTATTATTACCCTCATCGGTCTAATTATACTCTGCGAGAAATCGCGTTTGTCCATGCCAGAAATAACAACGACAAAAATTTTCAAAATTAATTACTCTAATACAAATTGCGCTAATTGTGCAATTTTTGTTTCTTGCGTAACAATTTTATTAAGGTATTGTCGCAAATGAATTTTTTGATAAAATTTCGAGAATATTTTTAGTTATAAATAAAGTATTTATGCATTCGACCTCATGTGGTAAATTACCAATGTTTTGATGGTCCACCTATTATTTTTTTCACTGCTTCATTTTATGCACAGAAAACATTTATATCTGAACTATCAGCAAAGAATTTTGAAGGTTTCTATAATATTTCGAGCAATGTCAATTTTTATATTATGTCATCGATTTAATCCTAACACACGACTATATCACATTACAAATTAAAAATAAAATAAATATATAAAGATCTAAAAAATGCTATCTGTTAAATCTTATAAAATACATTGTTATAAGTAAAACGAAGTAAAATCTTTGTCAATTAGTCGATTCACAACTTAGAAAGAAGTGTTTGAAATAGAGTCATAAAACATTTAACGTTTATTGACTTTTGCGATAGGTGATAATGTGAGGTCCGTTGACAAATTTTGTCGCAGTAGTGTAAAAATTCTACTCACTTCATTTGAAAGTGTCGTATTTCTTTCCCATTCACAAAGAAACCGGATAACAACGGGTGAAACGTGTCATAAATTACAGCGAGTTGAAATTTGATATGTTTGTTTTTTGCGTTTTTCGTATCAAATTACATTAAATTCGACACAAATAAAGCACTTGTGTAACTATAAAAATATTTTACACTGTTTAAAAGTAGAAAAAATAAACAAAACAAAGATGTTATAATAATTTTGAAGCAAAGACGATAAGTTTACAATTTTTGGAAAAAAAATGGATTCTGTGAAACGCCACGTGACTAAAGTATGGTCAAAAAAATGAAGATGGAGATTCACTCAGGCCCAGACATATAGAATATCGTATACAACAGCCTGCACGACTTATACAATAGCATTCGGCACATTCCCTATAGAATTTAAGGGTATGCTGAAAATTTTCTAAACTTAATCTATAAGTATGACTAACAACAAATAACTTTTTAAGCAATGTACACTGCTCGCGATTAAAACTGCTACACCATTAAGGTGGTACGCAACAAACACGAAACTTGCATTAACCCGTACAACATGCTGAGTGCACTGTCCCTGAAGATTACCTGTCGATTAAATCACGTCTCCATTTTGTTACACTGTATGTATACAACAAATACGATTCTTCTATTCGCTTTCTTTTCTGCTATAGCAAATTTAATAGCCAGCAGTTATTTAAATGAAATACAATTGAATTCATATAATGCGTTAATAATTATTCTTGTTTAGCATTGAAAACATGAAGCATTGTCTCCAATTACGAAGTTAATAGTGTTGCTTTCACCATTGTTTAATTCTCTGGACTACTGGGAAATAGCGAAAAATTACTCTTACATATTTTTATAAATAAAATCAAGTGACTGCAGCAAACAACATACAAATAAAAAATGTTGCAACTAAAATTCACCTAATCATTCACAGATTTAATTTCATCGAATTTTTACTTACAAAATTAAAGTATTCGATGAAACAAACAAATGTTATATTTAAATGTAAGGTATTTCCCGCAAAATATATACAAAATAGAAATATTGGTATTGCTTACATCATCTCCATATTCTTCTAATTTAAATGATCGTATGAGATTTGCCAGTACTAATTATATTATAGTTTTTGCTAACCTCTGTCCGATACATATTCGAACGGCTGGTAAGAGAGAGAATCAATTTTTTGCCTATCCTGAAATGAAAATCTTGAATCCACGAATAATTTTCAATAACAGCAATTTGAAAACTTCTTTATAAAACAAATGTAAACATAATTAAACTATAGTTATTATTTATTGACCTGTAGGGATTGAATTTATCAGGTTCACTCCAATAATCTGGATCATTTTGCAGAAATTGTATTAGAATCGTTATAATACTACCTTTCAGAGTAGTGAAGTCTTTAAAACAATAATTTTCCGCACATATGCGATTTACACTTCTATTTATAAAAATACTTATAGTTAATATATTTATTATATTTTATATTTAACTTCATAAATGTAATAATTATTGTTATAAATTTTACATTAAGGAAATTAAAAAAAAGCAAAGAGTTTCACAGATAACTTGATCTAGCAACTGAAAATTGGTCAAGTCAGAATTCTGGATATCCATCTGAAAAGTAATCAAAATGCAGTAATTATAGTTAATTCTCTTGAAAAATTTTGAAATTTGTATTTTCACAACAATTTATTTTTAATGATATGCAACAAACTTAAATTTTAGAAAACTTTCTTTAAAAAAGTTCTGTTATAAAACTTTGCTTTTATTCTAAACTATTTAAAATTACGTTAATGTTTATTAAAATAAACATTACGTTATGTTGAATTTTATTAATTGTTAGCGATATACATTATCTCAATCGTAAATCTTTGCAAACAAAAATATATAAATATATTGTTAAACAATATAATAGCTTTTTGCTAAATGCTGTGTCAACCGAACCCAACTTTTTTTGGCTTGTTCTCTTACATTTATATGAAATTTACTTTTTTATATAATGTCTACTTTTTATGTAACGAACCTGTTGCAATTATTTTTACGAATGTCATAAATCAATACTACAGTATTGCTACTGTAGCATTGAAATATCACACAAAACGCATTGAACAAACAGAAACAAAGTATCAAGTAATAATTTCGTTTTTTTATTCACATATAATTAGAGCATACTTCGAAGACACTTCTATAGTTTTCAAAACAATAACTTAGTATTATGAGATGGTATTAATAAGCAAAGTTGCAGATGTTCTGTGAATGAGCATTACCTCAGGAACTGCTGAAGATATTATGTAGTAAATGTGAAAAGGAAAGTTTATTGAGAAGAACTGCTAACTTTGAGACAATGGGATCTATGTAAAAATCAAGACTGTCATGTTTTTTGTCAAAAAAAAACCAGTCAACTACAGAGTTTCAGAAATTTGATGCATCATTTACTCTGCGGTACATACTAAAC